ACAGTCAGACTGTCAGACCTGAAAAGCAGACCGTCAGACACTCAGACAGTCGGGCCCCATGCCGCGACCTCAATCCAAGAAGATGGAGCACGGTATAGCTCTTGGGCTCCCTCTTCTCTTCTTTTACTGGTGAGTACTACTTACTACTTACTACTGATGATCCTCCACATTTCCCTATTAGTACTGCTTCAGACGAGCTTCGCACTAAACATCTGCAACCTCAACAACCGAGATTCTCACTACTCTTTCCCTCGTCACCTCCCCGCCCGCAGCGAGTTGCAGGAGGCAGCGTGACATCGATCATGTAACAAGTCTTGAGAGGTTTCCCACGGTTGGATGTTGAACGCAAAGCTGCATTAGAGAGGAGACACATGAATTGCGGCGCCCTTTGGTAGGTGGTGGGACTCTGAATCTTCACAAGGCAGTTCCACACACCAGGCAAAATGTCCTGAAAGCACTCCTCCCAATGCTCCTCCTGGTCGGGCCATGACTGCTACAATGCAGGAGGCTAGGCCCGGCTATAAGCTTACCAGTGTGTAGGGCTTGGGGAATACCAGCGTTGGGGTTTGAACAGTGGGTACACAACCTTTCTGCTGTCATTCATGTATCGCCAAGAAGTGGTCAGTGCTGCAGAGAGAAGGGCTCAAAGACAGGAGCCTGAAATACATCTGGGGCTTGTAGATGGAGTCGTTCAAAAAGGAAACTGGCCTTGCTTTGGTGTACAGCTGGAAAACACAAGCGCCACGACCACAAAAGACTGCTGAAAACTCAGGCTCACCGTCGACGGGCCTGGCTATATTCGCAGATCACGGAGGTCCTATTAGGACGGAAACGGTAGCCATAATCTATCCCCTGTATTGTGAACTAGGACGCAGTTCCACCTGCATGAATGCTGCATCTGACTTAGGTATTCCAATCCAAAACTGTACGCCTCTCTTGAACGTGAGAAGAACCTTAGCTTAGCTTTTTGCGCGGGGTAGGCAGGGCATGGAATCAGTTTTCGGGAGCTCCGAGCAGGAAGCAAGCAGCATCATGCCCCTCGCACCTCATCCTCCTCGTCTTTGTTGGAGCGCTTTGCGCAAGTCCTGTGCTGCACTTTAACAGACGTCCATGGTTTCAAGCAAAGGCATGCAACAAAGTCAGGTCCAGGCCTGTAGAAGAGGAAGATGATGAACAGGATGCTGAAAGTAAACATTTTCAGAGATCCTTCTGAAGCCTGCAGACAACGGACATCAGGCTAGGACAGTCTAGAAGACTGAAGTGAGCACTATGCGAACTTGTGCAACTGAGTACTTTTGCAGTTGAAATCAAGAAGAACTAAGGAGCAGTATGCTTGCGGATTTGGCTGACGAAAGGGTGGGTTCGAATGCTTTCCAAAACTAGATGTCCCCTTTGAGGAGCCCCCTCAAGCACGAAGGTATAATGAACTGAATTCCTGCATGACGTGCGCTCGGCTTTGGTTATTCATGCGAAGTTGTTGACCACGTTATCCGTTTCCAAGGCCAGGTTTTAGGGCTTACCATGACCCTAAACCTGGGTTAATGGGGATAACTTGGGGAGTTATTGTATGGCTTATTTTATAGGGTTAATTATTCCTACTTTCTAGGTCCCCATGACCCTCGAAGTAGACCCTATTGTCTTCGAGGAGCATGCTAGCGTGTTGCAACCGCTGCAGCCACAGTCCAATGTTCCTGCTTCTCATACTAACGTCCCATGACCCAAAAGCCGTGTTTCATTTGTTGTTCTTGATTTGTAGAAACATCTGTACGGTCGCTTGCCAAAACTGTGCTCCCTGTTTGGGTCCCTCCCTGTTTGGGTCCCTCGTGTAACCCACTAATATCTAAGGTAATGTGGCAACAACTTTAATATATACATATATATATATACACATACATGTATCTTTTTACCGCCTCCAAAAAGTCAATAAGGCTCCCACAAAACCGAGGGCCCTGGGGTTTAAAATCGGCATAGTCTGGATTTGGTAAGGGGTCCCAAACCAAAATGCATTAAAGACATTGAAGCTCTTAACACGGCGGCCAAAATACATCAAAGAGAGTCTGTTGGCTAAAGTGAGTGCAACATTACCCCCCAAAGAGGCCCATAAGCTTGACAAACTCCCCATATAGTAGTTGATCAAAATACCTTTCCCCAACATGGCCGTCAGGCAGCTTCGCTTTTGGGTTAGGATCCACCTCAAGGAAGTGCAGGAGCAATCCCGGTATGGTACGGCAAACTGCATCGAGCTGCCTCTTGTGGAGTCGGCTGGAAAAATGGTCCCAAGACCTGGGGCAACAGCTGGACTTCATGAGGTGTTAGGCTCAGAAAGCTTCAACATAGGTCTTTGTTGGGAGTCCTGGTAGACAGACTCCAAATGGCTAGGGCCTACTTTCTGAGGCGCCTCCTCTTTTCATGGAGACTCCCCTTGGGAATCGCACAAGAAGTAATCCTCGGAAACTTGTTTCCCAGACCCCCAAAGGGATCTAAACATTAGATCTCCTAGATGCCCCTTCAACCATATGCGACATGATATAAGGGTTACATAGGGGCTATCATGGGTCTTTATAGGGGATCTAACTTGTAGATCCTCCATGGGTCTGGGAGGTGGCTTGCAGCCATGCAGGCTACAAGTGAGGTTCTTTTCTTCGTCCGTCTAGCCAAGGAAATGCATGAAGCCTTCCTCTGTGAGATGCATGGTAGTTCCGAACGCACGAGTCCCACAACGGTCTATCCCAAATATGAGGGTTCTTCTTCCACTAGCAGCCTTGACCCCGCATCTTCGGCAACTCCCACATCACGGTTGGCCAAAATTGCAGGCTAGGTCTGTACATGTCGGCGGGCGGCATGCCTTTAGCACACACGCAGCGCCAGGATCAAAATTCAGGTGCGCAAGAACGCTCCATCCCTAGCATTGGTAGGGAAGTTCATCAGCAAAAACTAACTAACGTTACAATAGTTCATGGCTATGTGCCATGCTGGCGAAGAGACAGCACTCCGGCTGTGTCCTGCTACTGAAGCACCCAGGCGTGTGCTGCGCTCTTCACGCCGCTCCGATGGCATGTCCCGAATTTCAAAAAACATGCTTGACAGAGGGCTTCAAACTTAAACTTAGGGTACCGTCTCCACAAAGGATCGGTCTATGCTCTCGTCGCAGATCGAGGCGTTCATATGTTCATATGTTAGTTTTTGTCCACCTGTTCCTGAGTGGGGGCAGTATCCAACTTAAAGTGAATATTGAAGTAACAATGGGGCCAGCAGGAAGCTGCCACTACTAGGCATGCAAACAGCTACACAAAAAAGACTGCTTGCAATTGGCCACGCTCAGCACAGGGCGTTGTCGATGCAGCACCCTGTGGTCACGCGACGCCGGAGACTCTTTGGGGAGACCCTGACATCCTTGGAGTCCTTCTTCTGAGGATGCGCGATGGGGTCCAACTTGTTCTTGGGGACTGCAAGGTCACGTAAGACCTTCAGGGCATCATCCTTGACGATGACATCGCCTGGGTTGCTGTTAAGGAACTTGAATTAGGCTACCATAATCGGTATATATAGTAAATAATAGGGTTTCCCCAATATGGTAGCTTAAATTAAGTTCCTTAACAGCAACCCAGTCGCTGGTCTTGGAGGACCCCAAGCTATTGGATCGCTGGAAGTTGGGCATGAAAGACTCATAGAAAGCCTCGAGGATGCAGGGTTACATGGGGATAATGGAAAAGAAAATGGAAGCTACTATAATGGAGAATCAAATAGAAAAGAAAATGGAAAATGAAATGGAAACTGGGATTATTAATAGTATTTATGAAAGACTCATAGAAAGCCTCGAGGCAGGCTTCAAGAAGCGCATTGGTCAAACTTCATCGGGGCTAAGGGTTTAAGATTGGGTCGTAGCTCCACAACTATGTATACCTAAGCTCCTCTAAAACCATAAGCAAGAAAGCCTCAATGGGGCCATGCTCCTGTGCAAGGGCAAAGTACTTGAGGTACCACTCCTGGGCCGCAAAGCTGACTTGGGAGTTCCATTGGGCTAGTATGGATACTAAAAATCCTGCATGACCCAAAGTACCCTAAACCTTGGGAATAATGGTACTATATACTAAGGTCATGCAGGATTTTTAGTATCAACAGAAGTATGGCCTGGCCACAGTCCATGGGCCCCTACAAGTTCAAGCCTCAATTGGGGATTGTTGGGATTAAGATCGACATCCCAAACAAGTAGAGCAAAGGCTCAGTGAACTCAGTGAAATCCACCGAGCCATTCCCATCCAGATCCACTTCGTGCCAAAAGCGCTCGATCCGGTTCTGGGGAAGGTCTGACCTACAGCCCCCTCTTCATTTTTCAGTGAAGGGATGTCCAAAAAGAAGAGGTTCCACTTGTTCGGGCCGGATAAGAATCTTAAACCATATTGGGAGAGTAACATGTTTGGGATGTGAGGGGCACCCTTTATTTTGAAATGCGATGAAATACCCATGTCCTCTCTGGGACATGACATCTTACATGTTCTGCTCAGTGCTCAGGTTGTACTCAGGGCACGGACCAAAAACCTGCCAAGGAAACACGGGTGGCTTATTGGAGCAGTGTAGGAGCGTGTACATCATGTTTTCAAACTCGTTGAACTCGATGAGGCCCGACTTGTCAGTGTCGAAGTGGTCGAACTTGAGCTTGACCTGTGAGTGTCCACAAATAGTGTTCCTTACAATATGGTAGTTTCAATTTTTCCATTATACCATTATTCTTACTATTATGATTACAGTTTAGGGCTCAGGGTTAGGGATCCCCCATCTCATATATTTCTTCCTGGCCCTTATTCTAGGGACCTAGACCCTAAACCCTAAATTCTAGGGACCCCAAAACCCCCCCCACCTTGTCCAGCTCGATGCAGGAGCAGTGATGCTTCTTAGCCTGTTCTCTGCTTGAAAGGAGTGTATTTCTTGGAGGATCATGGGGACTTAGTAAGTAGGACTAATAGTAGATAGGGTGTAGGGTTTAGGGTTTAAGGTTGGAGGGTCATGGGGACTTAGTAAATAGGTTTTATACTGGGGATACGGGGGGTTTATTACATGGCAGATAGGGGCTATTAACCTACTTGACCTACTTGCTAAGTCCCCATGACCCGAATCCGACATGACACAACACCACATCCTGACAAGTAGGGTGTTCTAGTAATAGAAGTGTGGGATTTCCACCGTTACCTGTATGAATAACTTTGCACGAGGTTACCATAAAACATAAGTCCAGAAAAGGCTTCTTATCAAGGGTTTCAAGGTTGTGCCCCTAGCATTGTACCCCATGGGTTTCGGGATCCGTTTCGGGAGCCAGGAGACTACTAGAAGGGCTATGTTGGGGCCATCTTAAGCAAACCTTATGAGCTGTAGTCTAAGCTCCTAGCTCCTAGTATCCCAGTTAATAATCCCTACAAAAGCTGCCCTATATAATCCCCTAAATACCCTCCTTTAAGAAGTTTAGGCCATAGGTAGGACCTTAGAGGCACAACCCCAGAACCCTTGATCCTAAGCGCACAGAAGTGACCAGCTCCAAGGTCAAGGCATCTGCGCTCTCCTTTGCCTTACTGGTGGCTCCTAGGAAGAAGGGATGCTAATCCCTACATAATAGATTCCCTTGTTCTCTACAATCCCTATATCATCACTACATAATGGATTCCTTTATGCCCTACTAAACCTCAGTAAGCTGCGGGATCATTTTCTTGGTCATGCATGAAAGTGAAGATGTGGTCTCGATACCAGGAGAGCAGACGCTTCGGGCTGACCGGACCTTCTGCCACCTGAAGCTATGGAGGCATCTAAAGGTCTAGGGGTTTAGGGTTTAGGGGATCCACATCTACCCTACCGCTTAGTAAGCCGCTGTGCGGGCTTAGTCAGATTTCTAGGCACTATCAAGCCCCCACAGTGAAAAAAAAAAGTGGGATCCAGGTTGTACTATCATATCCCACCTTGCACTGGCTGTACGCATCTACCAGGAGTCGAGCATCCACATCCTTGACGTTAAAGGCACGCAACAGGCATTCCCGGAAGGTGGCGAGCTCCATGCCTCGGAGGGTCTTTGCAAAGCTACCCTAAGGGTAAAAGTACCCAATAATCAGGGTTTAGGGTTTAGGATTTAGGGTAATAATCATATACTTACCCAAAACCTGTACTATAATTACTATTATCCAAAACCCAAGTACCTAATTATTCTGTACTTGGACCCTTAGGGCTACCTCCACTTCAGTGCAAGCATGTTCATGCCAATAGCTGGGCCTATGCACGCTTGATGACTGCTAAGCGCAATTCGAGGGTACTGCCGGGATGTTCAGACGCGGCTATCATCAGCCAGGAAACCTCCATTGGGCAATGTTGCATGATCCCGTCTCAACTCCTGCACGGCATCTTTGACTTCCTGGAAGTCCAAGTGAAGCTGGCGAGACAACAGCAAGGCTTCAGTCTTCACATCCACGATGGCCGGAAGGCTTGTGTGCCTCTCAGGATTTGTCACAGGAGACAGTAGAGGAGATCGTCCTAAACATCCTAACGCCTCCCGTGTGCAAGCTCAGTAAATTCTGCTGCAGATTTTCCGTAGGACCACCATCAGCCCCCAAACTAATAAGGCCGATTAGTAAGGCCATAAAAAGCCCCGCCTTTGTTTGTTGACCCATATAACCAGGGGGGGGGGCATCATAAACTTCCAAGATCCCTAAGCCCTAAACCGCCTCGTCAAGGGCTCCTGAGCTTTTGTTGGCTCAGGCAAGGGATCAGGCTGGTCAGGCCGCCGCGCCGACATGTAAAGGTGGCCTGGGTTTGGGCTGCTGTCAAGGAACTGGAAGCAAGTTACTACCCTAATCTGGGTAAGTAATGAAAATGATAGGGTTCCCTTATGTTACTAACTTAATCTAAGCTTAATCTAAGTTCCTAAGCAGCAACCCAGCCTTTGGAGGAATTCCTTCGACGTCGGTGAACTGTCTTGCCGGTCTCTGTAGATGGCACACAGGCATTGAAATGTCCAAGATCCATCATCCTTGAATCACCGTCAGTCTTCCGCCGGCACATTCGAGCACCGAGCTTGCTTGCCTCCCTCGAAACCTGCTGATGAGACGACATGGCACGAGCAAGGTCGTAGTCTCAGCCTACAGAAGCGCTTCTTCCTGTGGTCCTCTGGCTTCACACCTTTCATACAAGCGTCAGCCAAGTGCAGGTGTGATAAACCGAGCCCGCACATGTCATTAGACTCTGACACTTGTCATGGGAGTCGGAGTTTCTGAACAAAAGTGTACCCTGCCACCACCGAAGCATCCCTTAAATGGGCGATCGAGGGTGCCACAGCAATGAGCAGCACAAGTGTTGTCGAGGCAAATGTGAAGGTACATCTGCCGCAACAGCTTCCTGCGTTCAGGGATATATATATATATGTATATACGCTTTATTTCTTTATTCATTTATTTGTTTTTTTATTTATTAATTTATTTTTTGGGTGGGGGGGGGGGTCCGCAAACCCCGGGTACCGGAGTTTTTTGGTGGTCTAAATTGGCGTCCCCCCAACTCCTTGAAACTAGCATAATATGAATTGTGTGTAACATACGTTGGGGGGGATATCCCTTAGTAAGTACTCTGCTGAGGGCATCTGTTGATAATCCCCTTCCCGCATAACAAACCCCTCCACATCCCGAATGTCTCGTCCACTTTTTATGATGGTGCCTGTTTTGGGGCTCCCTAAACCAAAAACATTCTTTTTGGTAAGGGCCGACGGACTCTGAAGCGCTACAGACTACCGCCCACCCATACTAGACCCTCCCAAAACAAGGCTTCAATCTTTCCGGGTTAGGCCATGTTTGCAGATTTACATGGGGCATCATTTTGTTTAAAGTACGATGGTCGATGATTAGGGGTGTTTAGGGCTTGGGATGTCAAAATCTATGTGATGCATAGGCTTATGGACATACTCGATCGATTTAATGTACAGTGATCACCCACATCATTAATGGACGATCTTTGACACTAAGCCTCTTGGGATACAAGCTCTGAGATAAGTAAGCCTAGTAGCATGACACACGGTTTGGGGTCCCTGGGCTGCGCTAGCCTTGTGGCTTAGTTCCATAAGGCTCAAGAAGACGAACGTGGTACACTCTTCATTTTACTCGGAAAATTTACGTAAGCCCCGTAAACACTAAGCGTACCTACTCCCAGCCAATGAAGGAATCAAGGGTTCCCGAGTTGAACCGCCAGCGTTGTATTCCCAATCCTGTTGGTTCCTTATATCGGATCAACCAACGTAGTCCCCCAGAGTTCCGAACAGGGATCATGGGTCAGTACAACCCAAGGGGTATTGATGTTGATTATAAAAGCCCTGCATGACCTTGGTATACTACAGTACCGTAATTCCCCAGGTATAATGTAACTAGGGTCACGCGCGATCTTGAATATCCAACGTAGGGTACAACCATGGGACTCTAAGATCCTAACCACGGCCTACTGGCCTACCCCGGATCCTAATTGGGCACCTACTTGGGTTTGCAGGAGCTCACTTATAGGGTATCGAATGCGTATATGGCCAATGCTAGGGGCCCGTAGTTCCAACCTGAGAGGAACCATTGAAAGGCAAACCACCTGCTGAATCTGGCGTCTCTGACATCTCGTCTCCATTTTTGGGAGATGGCTCAGGAGCCTGGGCATTGCTACTGCCACAAGCACGGTATAGGTTTCGTAGGGGTTTCAAGGTTTACAGGGTCTATGAGGGTCTATACGTTGTACGGCTTGCAAGATCATCATATGGCCGTTTCTCAATAGACAGGGATCCCTTGTTGGGAAGCCCTAGATACAGTAGGACCTGATGCTAATGCTGCCTGGGATAACCTTTCTGGCTTGGTCCCCTTTTTCAGAGAGTTTCCTTTGTACCCTTAGGGTTTGTACCCTTGGGCTTGGGTCCCTAAACCATGAAATCTGGCCATGAACAATGAGGGTATTTGGGACCCAAAACCTATCGTTACAAACATTTAAGGGTACAAACTTAAAGTCCTTGAGCTTTCAAGCACGACCACTGAGGAAGCCTAAGGTCGTTACGGCCACCATCAGATTCATGACTTCCCCAAAGGGTCCATGTAGGTATATGGGAGATACTTAGGGTTCAAAGGGGTTCCCATATACCTTCTTTAAGGCCCGAGTATATACCATATAGCTACATGGACCCTTTGGGTTCTGATTCTTACCCTAGGGCTCCAAATAGTCCCATGGCCCATGTAGGTAATTCTTATGGACAATGTGGCTCAATGTATGCGCTCTTTGTAGACTTGGAGCCCCGGTGTTATCTTGATATTGAAGTAGAATTGACGTCGAGTTGGCTGGTGTGATCACGGGGGCCCGGCAGGCATCATTGCCGCTGGCGGGCTACACCTGCAATGAAGGCATCGAAAGAAGTGAACAAGTTCAGCAAACAACGCTGGCATGGTTGGTGACAGAAAAAACAGTGGCACCAAGAAGCAGAGACAGTTGGAATGGGAATGCGAAGATCAACGTACTTGGGAAAGCGACGTCAGAACGGAACAGCCGGCTATTGCAAGCATAGTGCCCCCCATGCCATACGCAGCCCTGCACTGCCGGTGTAGAGGCAAGCTTTGGCTACGTATGCTACGGCTCATATGTTGTATATGTATTTACTTTGGCGGTGGTATACTGTAATATCTGTAGTCCTTTCATAGATCATAACAAATCCAAACAGGAAATGCATAGGCGCATGTGGGTTTCTGGTGCAAGCGGCGGTCAATCCAAGTCATTCGTCGAAGGTCCGGGTACTTGGATGATCTTTAACTTAGCAACACTACCTACTATCCCCAAGAACCCCAAGGATGAGCCACATAACCCCTTTTACTAAGTAGACTCACTAAGTCAAGGGAACCTCCAAGTATTCATGGGCTCCCCTACCCTTAATTGACCTTAATTAAGCCTAATTATCCCCAAATAACCTTGATTTGGGGGGGAACCTCGGCGGGGTAGCATAGAGGGGGGTAATCGGGAAATCCATGAAGTACGGAGCCAAACACTGCCCAAGAGCCAGTATCAGCACTTGCCCTAGGGGTCCAAATATCTGGCAACATACTTTGGGCCAAAATGGGTTCAATATTCAGATGCTTCGGGGCTGATGCGTGTTCTATTTGGGCAGTTGGACCCTTAAAATTCTTTGTGAACTCCAAACACGCCGACTGACCATGTTTTGGCGACTGCGATCGCAAAGAACTTTATACGCACCCCGTGATATTCTCTTAATAAGTAGGGTATAAGGGGGTTTTGCTGGAGCTATAAAGGGATAATAGAAAATCGAAGCTGCTAATTATTTGACACTTAGGGTTTAGGTTGTAATCACAGTAACCTTTGAGCCTTCACGACGATCCTAAATACGCCTGTTACAGGCTGGGGGCGGTAGCCAAGCTTTGTAGTAATTGCAACCCAGAGAAACAGGTCTCAATAGACATCTAGTGGGGCCTGGGCAGAAATGCAAAGGCCGCTGTTTGGCGTGTTTTCCAGCATCGATTGTGTTTTCGGGCATACTCCACAGAATGGAAAGTGTAATGGCAAAGAAACTGGACAATAAAATGGAAACTGTGGATTATGTAGGGGTTATACAGGAGGATCATCTAATGGAGAGGCCAAAATGATGACCAACATGATGTCGAGGTCTGCTTGAGGTACCCTATACCAGAAGTAGGCAAGGAATCTAGGACAAGACTATTGTCAACTACTTCGGCTCCTACAGTAGTGGGATCAGCTTGCATTCCTGCTGCTTTTGCGAGACACAACATGGTCTCACTGTTGAACTTAGAGAACACTGAGTTTGGTGAAGCACTTTGCACAGGTACCTATCCAGCATGCTGTGCGGCGCGAATCGCTTCTTGCAGCTTCTTTGGCCGCATGAACTTGGACATATTGGGTTTCCAAACTTTTGGGGTCCGCTTGAAGGTCCCCGTAATAAGGATTGCAATACATGGGTGTGCATGGGGGCACCCTTGCTGCGGAAATACGATTATAAGTATGGACTACTCAAGTTGTGGGGACCTCCATGCCCCTAAATTCCCACAGTCTACTCATCAGGACCTTCCCGAGAAAAGACCCACAACGTTATCACAGCTATGGATAGCTGCTGGTCTTTACAGAAACTCTTCCAACTTCAAGGGCGCATGAAAAATGGCCCTTGGGTTCAAGCCATCCTTCACTGCGATACCCTTGATGTGAGGGATGGGGAACCCCATCACTGGCAAAGTGAAGGAAATGAGATCCACCTCCTACGCGGCGAGGCGATCCAAGGATGACGATTTGGGGTTTTAGGGTTTAGGGTTGAGAAAAGCGACAGGTTTCTGCATTAAGGAGGCTTGGCTGTTTGCTTGTAGTTTCTAGGGACTGGAGGCATAGGTCCCTTCAGCCGCCTCTTTGTCCACCAGACTGTAGTAGTTTCCAATGTTCTTTCTAGTCCCTCACTGCCCACTGACGACTAGGTGAGTGCGCCTTGCAAGCCTTCCCACACTACTGCAAGCAGGAAGTCATGATGTAAAATCCCCGTAGGATAGTCATCAGAATCGTTCAGGCCGGTGCTAGTTGTACTGCACTGAACTAAAACAGTGATCACAAAATCTCACTAACAAGGTCTGCGTAAGAACGTGTAAGAAATCACAATGTAGCTAAACACTTCCGAGCCTGGGCCGCTGAACGGAGAACACCCTGGGAATCCCTAACATCCCACCCCTGATCTACAGGCGCAGCTGCATCCTTATGGACGCGGACTTGCTGAACGCATCGTGCAAATCCCTGAACCCTGACCCCTACACCACAAACCCCAAAATGAACACCAAACAAACGATCCGGTTACCCCTAAACGGCAACATGTCACTCACTTTACCTGTGAAATCGGAGATTGCACGACATATATCCTTCCAAAGGTTGACTTCGAACAGCCGCTCTGTCTCGCGGCATGGGTCGCAGCCTAAGCAAGGGGATTTCTCTTCTCAAAATGAGGGTCCCCTAAGGACTCAAGGGAAATCAAGAGGGAGATGGTGCAGGTGAAATTTCCATATAGATAGCACATGGCACCCACGGTGTAGGGATCAGGGCTTCAACTC